ATCGAACCCAGGTCCTCTGCAAGAGCAGCCAGTGCTCTTAACCACTAAACCATCTCTCCAGCCCCAGAAATGAACTTTTAAAAATGGTTTTTTTTTGTTTGTTTTGAGACAGGGTCTCGCTGTAGCCCCAGCCGTCCTGGAACTCACTATATAGACCAGGCTGGCCTCAAACACAGATATCCACCTACCTCTGCCTCCCAAGTACTGGAATAAAAGGCATACGCCACCATGCCCGGCCCTAAAAATGTTTTTAAAAAGAAATTAGACCTCCCTGAGCCAGGTTGGTGGTATATATGCCTGTAATCACAGCTTGTGACAGTCTGAGGCAGGAGGATAGCCACAATTTTGAGACCAACCTGGGCCACAGAATGAGACCCTCTCTCAGAAAAGAAATAGAAGCTGGGCGTGAACAAACTAAACCAAAAAACAGGTGGAAAGATAGCTCTCTTGAACTCTGGCCAAGGGAACTCAGAGAATCAAGTCTAGACCCAGAGCAGCACTCAGGGGACCCACAGAGAAGGCTGAGGGTCAATAAACCTAGCATTCAGGAGGGTGAGCTGGGGGTGCACCAGAGGCCAGAAGTGAGCTGGAACTCACCAGGGGTCCCCCAACCACCAGCCTGTGTCCCACCATGCCAGCCTCAGGAAAAAGGTGGCTGCCCCTCCCTGTTGCCTTCCCATACTCAGCACAGCCTTCTGCTCCAGTGCTGCCCCCTGCCATCCAGCTGAGTGGATTCAGGGACATAGTTCCCAACTTGCTGTCCAGGTCCCCAAGTTCAGTACAGCATAAGAGACTCCAGGGACAGTCTCCTGAGTGCTTCTGCAATGAATTTAAATATGAGACAGGACCAAAGCTTGGTGCTGCACCTGCCATTGCGTGGTTAGGAGCTGGCTGTGGTTGGGAACACATCGTGAAACCTGCGGTTTGTGACATTCTGTGTGTGTGGCCCAGAAAGCCTTCAGACATTGTCTTTGGAAGCCACCTTCTCTCTGGACCCCAGCTGCTGTTCTCTAATACCATGAAAACAAGGCCCTGGCAGAGATGGAGCTGATAAAACCTGGAGTGAAACTCTTATCTATCAGCATTTTAGGACAGAGGGAGATAATGGGTCCCTTTGTAAAAACAAGAGTAAAGTAGTTCTGAGAACTGTGAAATTGTTACCCTTTCTAAATGACTTAATCCAACAGATGGGTGGTTTTGAATCACTGACCTTCTGTGGGCTGTGAACACCAACAGCTTTCATTTCAGTAGTGTAAGGGGCCCTCATGCCCACCCAGGAGCACCATCCCTGTGCCAGGCACTGGGCTGACCAGCAGACATATCCTCCTGTCATCAGTATCCCTGTGATACAGAAATTTGAGTGGGGACCTGTGCTGGATAGCTTTAGTGTCAACTTGACACACCTGGGTTGAGGGAGCCTCAGTCGGGGAATTGCCTCTATTGGACTGGCCTGTGGCCATGTCTGAAGGGCATCTTCTTGATGAGTGATGTGGGAGGGCCCAGCCCACTGTGGCTGGTGCCACCCCTGGGCAGGTGGGCCTGTGTTGCATAAGAAAGCAGGCTGAGCAGGGGCCAAGGGAGCAAGCCAGTAAGCAGCATTCCTCCATGGCCTGTGCTCCAGCTCCTGCCTCTAGGTTCCTGCCCTGAGTTCCTACCTTGGGCTCCCTGATGAACTGCATGCGACCTGGGAGATGTAAGACAAATAAACCCTTTCTTCCCCAAGTTGGTACTGGTCAGAGTGTTTTGTCACAGCAAATGAAGAACAAACTAAGACAGTAATTGGTACCAGAGAGTGAGGAATTGCTGTGACAGACCTGACCTTGGTGTTTTGAGGAGGACTATGGAAGTGTTTGGAACTTTGGGCTGGAAAGGCCATTGAGTGCTCAGAGTTTGTTGCTGTGGAGCTTGGAACAGTTATGCTGAAAGAGCTGTAGACGATGGAGGCCTGGCTTGTGAAGCTTCAAAGGGAAGAGGAGACCATCAGGGCTGTTCATGTGAGATTTTGGTTTGAGAATCTGTGGGTTCTGTTCGGCTGGGGCTGAAGAATCAGCTGTGATTAAGAAGAGACCAGAACCTGAAGCAAAACCTTTGCTTTCCTGGGACAATTGATGCTGGTTAGCTGGGGCTGAAAAATCAGCTGTAAGTAACAAGAGACCAGCATCACTG